GGCATTTAATCCATTCATATTCAAGGTTATTATCAGTATGTATGTTCCTATTACCATTTTCTTAATTGTTTTGGGTTTGTTTTTGTGGGTCTTTTTCTTCTCTTGTGTTTCCTGCTTAGAGAAGTTTCTTTAGCATTTGTTGTAAAGCTGGTTTGGTGGTGCTGAATTCTCTTAGCTTTTGTTTGTCTGAAAAGCTTTTGACTTCTCCATCGAATCTGAATGAGATCCTTGCTGGGTAGAGTAACCTTGGTGTAGGTTTTTCTCTTTCATCACTTTAAGTATATGCTGCCACTCCCTTCTGACCTGCAGAGTTTCCACTGAAAAATCAGCTGATAACCTTATGGGGATTCCTTTGTATGTTATTTTTTGTTTTTCCCTTGCTGCTTTGAATATTTTTTCTTTGAATTTAATTTTTGTTAGTTTGATTAATATGTATCTTGGTGTGTTTCTCCTAGGGTTTATCCTGTATGGGACTCTCTGTGCTTCCTGGACTTGGGTGACTATTACCTTTCCCATGTTAGGGAACTTTTCCACTATAATCTCTTCAAATATTTTCTCAGACCCTTTCTTTTACTCTTCTTTGTCTGGGACCCCTGTAATTCGAATGTTGGTGCGTTTAGTGTTGTCCCACAGGTCTCTGAGATTGTCCTCAATTCTTTTCATTCTTTTTTCTTTATTCTGCTCCTTGGCAGTTACCTCCACCATTTTGTCTTCCAGCTCACTTATTCGTTCTTCTGCCTCCGTTATTCTGTTATTGATTCCTTCTAGTGTATTTTTCATTTCAGTAATTGTGTTGTTCATCTCTGTTTGTTCTTTAGTTCTTCTAGATCTTTGTTAAACATTTCTTGTATTTTCCCAATCCATGCTTCCATTCTATTTCCAACATTCTGGATCATCTTTATTATCATTACTCTGAATTCTTTTTCAGGTAGATTGCCTATTTCCTCTTCATTTATTTGGTCTTGTAGGTTTTTACCTTGCTCCTTCATCTGTGACGTATTTTTTTGCCGTCTCTTTTTTTTTTTTTAATGAGTGGGGTTGTGTTCTTCTCTTACTGGTTGCTTGGCCTGAGGCTTCCAACACTGGAGTTTGTAGGCTGTTGGGGAGAGCTGGGTCTTGGTGCTGAGATGAGGACCTCCATGAAACCTCACTCTGATGAATATTTCCTGGGCTCTGAGGTTCTCTGTTAGTCCAGGGCTTCTGACAGGGAGCTCCCACCACAGGAGCTTCAGCCCGACCCCCAGCTTGTGAACCAAGATCCTGCAAGCCACGGGGTGGGATGGGGTTGGCAAAAAAAAAAAAAAAAAGAGAGAGAACAATAGCAAAGTACAAAATAAAATTAGACTAGGAAAATAACAGATATGTTAGAAAGAATATAAAAATAAAAATGTAGAAATATAGATGAATCAACAACCAGAAGGTGCAACAGTACCACAATAGTAAAAAAAGAGGAGGAGGGAAAAGAAAAAAAGAAAAAACAAAGGGGGAAAAGGCCTTGGCTGTGGAGGGCGGGACCTAAGCAAGGGTGAGGTTTGGGCAGTGGGCGTGGCCTATGCTTAGGACCCATAGGGCTGGAAAAGGCCCTGGGGGCTGTGGGGGGTGGGGCTTAGTCTTAACAGAACAGAAGGGGCCCAGGCGTGCCCCCCACCCCTGGGCTTGAGTGGGTGGGGCAATCACCCTCGGCTCCTCTCCTGCTCCTCCCAGAGGGCCCCTCCTACCTGCCTCTCCTGATGTCCCCCGTCTCCCTCCTATGCCCCCAAGGACCCACGTGGCCTGAAGAGGGGTCTGGAGGGCAGGGGATACGCCTGCGAACTCAGCAGGCTCCCCAGGGCCCAAGTGGGCGGGGCAAACGGCCTCTGCTCCTCTCCCGCTCTTCCCGGAGAGTCCCTCCCACCTGCCTCTCCTGATCTCCCCGGCCTCAGGGGTGCCGATCTTGTCTGGCCTTCACTTCTCCTCCCCCCTCGGTCCCCCTACATCCTACCAGTTCACTCTGGGGTTCCTCCAGTCTCCTTGGGGGTCAGAGTTCCCCACCAGGGGCCGGCAGGCGCCCTAGTTGTGGGGGGATGCTAACTCTGCTAACTTCAGTACTGGAAGCAGTATTTCCAGCAGAGGTGTTGAGGGCCTGGGTTGTTTAGGTGTATGGGAATGGAGAGAATGACATAACTGAGAGATGTTAAACAAGGAATCAACAGGCTTCGACGATGTATTGAATGTAGAAAACGAAAGAGCAAGAGCCGAGGAAGCAGTGGCGTCACTGAGAAGAAAGAGTGACCTGTGGGGGAAAAGCCAGTTCAGATGGGGAGCAATTTCAGAAGGTATTTGGGTGTGTCATGAGTTCTGGGAAGTAGACGGGCTAGAGATATAGATGAAGGAGCCCCCTGCAGAGAGGTCATGGAAGCTGTGGAAAGAGGGTGGTGTGGAGCGAGACAAGCAGGTCTGAGTAGGAAATCTGAGGTCGGGGTGCAATGCACAGCTGGGGCTGGTAGGAGGAGAGTGTCCAGAAGGAAGAAGTTGTGTGTGGTCTCAGATGTGGTAAAAGTGAACAATGTGAGGACGGTGAAAGTACCTTTGAATTGGCCAAGAGATGGGTGCTGATTTTCTGCTGCTTCCTGTGGTCTTGGGAAGGGAGCCAGCACTGCAGAGGGCCAGGAGAAACCAGGGCATGAGGAAGGAGAAAGACAGCACACGTTTCAGTTGCTTGGAAGTGAAGGAAATGAGATAACAGGCTAATTAAGGAATGAAGGTTACCCAGGTTAGAAGAGCTCTGACCCTCTGAGGGGCAGAAAGAAAGGAACAGGGTACAAGGAAGAGAGGGTGCTAGAGAGATTTCTATACCCCTGAAGCCGTGGAGACTGTTGGAGTGAAAGCTGTATCGCTGCATCTGACTCACTGGAGCCACCTGCGTGGGAAGTGTGATTTGTCCCTAGTAAAGAGGCCAGGAGATCTTCTACTCATGAAATCATCTTCTGTCCCAGAGGAAGACAGGCAGCTTCTCCCAGGCAGGTTGGAGCTGTGGCTTGTTGCTCTAGATAGACGCACTTTGTTAGCAGGTGTGCAAATGAATTGAGCGAATTCTCTGATCATGAGATCAGATACCATGTGGACTTAGAAATAGGCTCACGCTGACTCCCTATTAAGCAATTCCTGTTTCTTCTGCCTGTAAAGAAGACATTGTAGAAAATAGTACCAACTGTGAGGCAGCATGTTGATGCCTGATATATAATTTTTATTATAAATATAGAGCAAATTATACAAATAATTCAGAAGCAGCCTTAGCCAGGCAAAATTAAATTACACAGAATAGTGTGGATGAGGGGAGGTATATACAGTCTGTGTCAGGGTTAAAAAACCCTGAAAGAGGTACCTGAGTACAGAGAACTCCCAACCAACCCTCTTTGAGGGGGCCAGTTCCACACAGCATTAGATCAAGTAATGAATATGGAATAAAACCTTTCTCTCAACAGCCTCAAGGAGGTTCCATCCATGCAGAAGGAGGCTGGGTGGGAAGTAGACGTGCCTCTCCTCCTGCCCATCCTTTTTGTGCTGACACATTGGGTCTCATAGACCCCATGGGAGAAAACAAATTTCAGAGGCTTTCACGAAGCCCAGAGCTGAGCTATAATCCTCCCCTTGTGTCCTAAGGAGCATCAGCACCAGTGCAGCTTTCTAGGTTGTAAACGAGGCCAGCTGCGTGGGTGGTTGTGTCCCCTTCAGGTGCTCCTGCTTCTTAAGAACAAAACACACCTTAGCAGAGGCCAAGGTTTCCTGAGAAGGTGAGTGGGGTGGATGGAACGTACACAGGCAGAAACGTGGAATAGAATTGTGCTGATGGTTGGTCTGAGGTGCCTAGAAACTGAGCGAGATCCCTTTCTGGCCATGAATGTAGAAAACTGCTTCTTCCTATCTTCTTTTTGGAGCCCCTGATATAAAAGACTTGAGGAGCTCCTGGCCAGAGGGACTTGAGGGGTTTTGGTGGCTTCTTTCACCTAAGTCAGATTGGCTTACACAGCAAATTAAGTAAACATAACCCCTTTCACATAAACAAACAATTACAAAAATTTAAATGGCGAATGTCTCAGAAGGAAGGAAAAAACCCAATACCCCAAATTGTACATTCTTTAACCATTATTTAAATAATCTCTGCAGGGTAGCTTTCTGATTCCTTTCCCAAATCCCAGCAGATTGTCTCTGTTAAGAGCTGATTGTCCTCTAAAGCGATAATCCCTCCATCTCTGAGCATTGCCTTTAATGAAGCCCATAAAGTTATTAAAACAGTATGTGCATTTTTTGCAATTTCCATTAGGATTCACTTATGGACTTTGAGAAGTTGTTTTCTAGTTGCTTCTAGTAGTTTCTCTGAAGACAGGCTTTCAAAGGTTTAGGTGGTATTCTAGCTAAGTAGTAAGTTGTTTAGCCCTGGTCCTGCAGGTAGACAACCCTGAAAGTGGACAAAGGTATAGAATTTCCCAGTTCAGAATTGGTTATGTATGTGTTTTCCTGTGAATGGTGGGTTCACACCGGGCTTCAGAGAGCAGGAGAAGTTTTTCCTTTTCCTCTCCTTTTCTGGCACATGCATTTCAGTGGATCAAGGACATAATTTTCCAGGTTATGGCAAATTCAAGTTAAACTCCAATATGAAAGGACTGGGGTGGGAAGGAATGAGCAAGTTTAAAACCAGTTTAGGTCAGGAAATGGGGAGGCATGGAGGTTCTGGCAACTCTCTCCCAAGGTCTGCTTTGCCAAAGTTCAATGACAAGGAAGGTTGGGTTTCCTACAGACCTCCTCCTGGATGTACCTTTTCATCTACTGACACTGAAGGAAGGGACTGTGACTAGGCAGCCTGGAGGAGCCTCATTAGGGATGAAAGGGGGGGAAAGACACTATTCACATTTTCCCCGGAGGGCAAAGGGATCTCCTAGGGATGGGGATGAGAAGCTTGGAATAAGTGCAGTGAGCAGGACTGGTTGCATCACTTATTTTTCACTTCTGAATAAACTGTTTCTGTGGCTGATGAGGAGGCTGAAGTTGGTTTCTTTGATTCCTGGGCATTGAAGTTCAGGGCAGAATATGCAACTTCGTCAATCTGAAAAGAATGAACAGCAGTCAATTAAATCAGTGTCGTAGGCCAGGCCCTCACCTTGTCCAGTGTGATTCAGCACCACATGCTTTCACCACTTTGAAACTTTTAGCTTCAGAGAAGGGCTTTTATTACCCATTTTCTCTGCTTACTAACATCCTGTTGAATGATCATTCGGAGAGAGAGATTATGGAATGCTACAGTGAAATACGATGATACAGCAATGAGAATAAATGAACGACAAAGGCACACAACAATATGAATGAATCTCACAAGACAATTTTGAATCAAAGAAGCCAGACACATGTATACACTGTATTTTTCATTTATATAAGTGCATAACCAGGTAAAACTAACCTAATGCACTGGAAATAAGGATAGTCATTACTCTTTGGAGGGAAGTAACTGGAGCGTTTTGTGTGTGTGTTTGTTGGGGGGGTTGATTTTTTTTTAAATGATTTGGGTGCTGTTTACATAGGTATGTAGAAACTTAAACATTGTTAAAATATACTTATGATTGAAGCATTTTTCAATATCAATGTATATTCTATTGAAGGTTAAGATGAGAAAAATTCAGTACAATTATCAGAAAGTAAAGGAGCTAAGACCTCAGATCTATTAGATTGAAAATTATCATTTGATAGTAAGAGCAGGGTCAGATTGGAGGCAGAAGAGGGAGAATGATCTAGTGCCTTCCTTGAGCTGGGCATTGTGTCAGGTGCTTTACCTTTGTTATGTCATTTAATTCTTTGAACTTCTCTTTGAAGGAGGCAGCATGTCCATTTTACACGTGAAAAAGCCGGGAATCAAAGAGGTTAAGTTACCAGCCCAAGGTCCCAGCCAGGATTCAAGTTCATATCTTGCAATGAGGTAGACTGGTGGGGGTAATACTTCTTTGTCTGTTGCTGAAGTGAGGAACTTTGACCCAAACTTGATCTCACTTTTGTATGTTCAAGAATAACCCATTCTACACAGAGATATTTCCATGAGAAAAGGAGCCAGTGAAACTGGCTGTGCTTACCTTGTTAGGTGAATTGTCAGAGTGGCCCTGACCTAGGGAAACAAAGGAGAGTTATCAACCCATGAAACTGCAGAACTAACTTATTGCCTCAGAACTAACTTATTGCCTCAGAACACGGTGTTCCGAAGCTGTTGTGCTTCTAGCTGAAGGAGGGGGCAGGTGGTGAGAGGGTGGGGTGGGGGGGTGGCCCATGATTAAGACTTAAGGAATTCGCTTCCCTCAGTCTGAGGTCCAGACCCCAGGGCATTAGACCAAGGAGAGGTGGGGAGAGGCCTCAGTGCACTTCCGAAGATTTCTTCCAGTTCACAAGGCATGAGTTTTGCCCAGGTGTGTGTCTCAGCAGCAGGCTTCAGAGGCAAGGAGGGGCATTGAGGCCCACAGTACCCAGAGCACCAAAGGCAGGGAAAGTCTCACCAAAGGAGATGCCCGCATCCGTAATAGAGGCAGGAGGGGGAAGGAGGTAGGATGAGGAAAAGGCTCCTGGAAACATGTCCATCTCATGGCCTGCTTGGCTTGCCTGGCCTAGGAGGGGCGAGTGTCTCTCCCCCAGCTGTGTCTCAGGGGAATCTTACATGGCTAGGAAGGGCGTGAGGACCTATGCCAGTTTAAGCTTGGGAAACTGAGATCCCCTCTAATAATTCAGAAGGTAGGGATTCACTTGGAAATCCGAGATTCCCTGGTAGGGCAGGGTATACAGTAGGACATACGAGCTCTCACTAGGTGAGCAGGTTTACTTACTCTGGTTGTGGTCTGAGGATTTGTGCTCTGTGAGATCGCGCTAGTCACTTGCCCTAAATAAATATCAGACACTGTGACTGCTATTCCCAGGCACAGGACCTTTGCTCCTTGAATTAGGAAGGACCCTGTCAGCATGACTCCTTGGGGCTCCTCAGTGTTCCTTTATACCTTGGTTGGTCCTCTTTCCTCTGAGGACCTCATCCTTCAATCTACCCATCATCCCTTCTGGTGTTTACTCCTCTCCTGCTTCCTGGCTGTTCACATTTGGGGCCATTCATGCCAACTGCTTCTGAGCTTATTTCTACCCTGACACCTTTCCCCTTTTGTAGGTAGATGCTGTTTCTTTGTCACTTTATTTATTGCCCAGGAGGCCTTTGGTTGTTTCTGCTTTTCTTAGGTTCTCTTCCTGTCCTGTCCCTCCCTCCTCCTGCTACTGTTGTCGACAGAGCGCAGGACCCCCTTCCTCCTGCTTCTTTCATTTCCTCATTAGTTTTCCTTCTTGGACCTTGGCTTCCCTGACTGGGGAGAGAGGGACATAATTGGTTCTGCTCCCTCTAAACCAGGTGGGGATGGGAATAACTATGTCCAAGAGAGAGTAGGGCACAGGAAGCATGAAGACCAGGGAAGAAGAGACCCACAGGAATTAATGCCAAGAAGAAAGATTTTAGGAAGCATGAGGAGCAGATCCAGGTCCAGAGACAGAGATGAAGTCTCCTTCCCTCTCCCGAGCATGACGATTAGCCTCAGAGAAAGCAGAACAAGAGGAAAGGCATCATACCCTTCAGTCTATCTCATATACGGGAAATACACCAGAGGTTCAATCAGAGCTATGCCAGCCAGGACTCCAATCACGATGCAGGCAATAGCACCACCTGAGAGGCCAGTTGAATCAACTGTCATCGAAAGAAAAACGAAGAGTCAATGAAGGTGACATTATTTTACAGTGGGGGGTGCTCTGGGAAATAACTCTCAATATGAAATAGTCTCGACTTGTTCCTTCAAGGAATAAAATTTCTGTGGAAGGTTGCTGTGAGGTGACTAGCCGACTATATTTTTGTAATTTTTTCCTCTCTGACTGTATTTCTAGGTTGGTGGTTGGACATGCCTCAATTCCAGTGTGGCCTTTCTGCACTCAGATATTTTTGAAGGCTTTGGAAATGGAAGAAGCACTGATGGTTATTTTTCTATGTTTATAGCTTCCCATCTTTTCACGATTATATCTTTCTCTGGGTGTGGCCCAGGTGTGGCCACCATGAATATGTGCCTGTTAGGTGTCTTGGTGGGGATTTTTTGATGGAAGGCCCTCTGAATTCACTGCCCCTCTGCACAGAGACCACCCTTCACACAGGTTCCCAGCAGGAATATGAAATCAATCCCAGTTCTGCAAGAAATGATTTTTGTGTGTTGGGTGACTTTAGTTCAAGGACTCCTCACCAGATTTGCAGACACTCTCTTAGAACTGCACTGCAGCCTAAAACTTCCTCCTTCCCTTTCTCCTTCCCAGGGATCCAATATGCATCATGGTCTGAGGACCCTCCCAGGCTCCTCCCGCTCCTGCCCCACTTTCCTTCACAGGCATTTTTCCCAATGAATGTCTTGTATGTCTAATCCCATCTGGGCTGCATCTCACAGGATGAAAACTAACATACTAGATGTGAAACTTTGCACTCAACTCCTTTTTTTCTCTCTTCCATATTTACTCAGTAACATGCTCCTATGCGTCTTTTGTGTTATACCTTCCTTCCCCAAATATATAATACCTTTTGCCTCTTTGTTGTTTTTGTTTTTTTTTTGCGGTACGTGGGCCTCTCACCGTTGTGGCCTCTCCCGCTGCAGAGCACAGGCTCCAGACGCACAGGCTCAGAGGCCATGGCTCACAGGCCTAGCCGCTCCGCGGCATGTGGAATCCTCCCGGACCGGGGCACGAACCCACGTCCCCTGCATCGGCAGGCGGACTCTCAACCACTGCGCCACCAGGGAAGCCCTCTTTGTTCTTTTTTATTTCAGTTCCCCTCACCATTCAACTCAAAACTCAAAATTAATGCTAATGTTAGCCATTGTTATGATGTACTTACTATGTGCCAGATTCTGTGCTATATATAATATTTCCCATATATCTCATTTAATTCATATAATAACCCTGTCAGATAGACATTATTTCCATTTTACAGATGGAAAATCTGAGGCTTCCAGTAGTGAAAAACCCAAAGTCATATGGCTAATAAGAGGTGGATCTAGAGTTAGGTAGTCCTTGAATCGGAGTACCTGATTTCACATAACCTACTGATAATAGGAGTAATTATAGCAGCTAACATTTTTGGAAAAATTTTCCTTTGTGTGTATTTTGCTATGGGTTTAATTGAATATTACATTAAATCTGAAACAAAACCATGAAGCAGATACTTTTATTACAATTTTCAGCTGAGGAATCTGAGGCTCAGAGAAGTCAAGAATCCTGTGCAAGAATTTGTAATTGTAAATGCTTACATTAAAAAAGTAGATCTCAAGTCAGCAACCTAAATTTACAACTTAAGGGACACGAAAAACAAAACAAGGGAAAAAAAAAACATACCAAAGCTAGCAGAATGAAGGAAACAATAGCAATTAGAATGGAGATAAATAAATTAGAGAATGGAAAAACAGTAGAGAGAATCAATAAAACCAATATTTGGTTCTTCAAAAATATTAACAAAATTGACAAATCTTTAACTAGATTGACTAAGAAAAGAAGATTCAAATTACTAAAATCAGAAATGAATGTGGGAACATTACTACCAATTCTACAAAATATGAGTACTATGAATAATCATTTGGCAACAAATTGGATAACTTCTACAAAATGGACAAATTCCTAGAAACATGAAAGCTGCCAAGATGAAATCACAAAGAAATAGAGACTATGAATAGACATAAAGTAAGGAGGTTAAACCAATAAAAAACACTTGACAAAAATCCACTAACCTTTCATGATGAAAACACTCAAACTAGGAAAAGAAGGAAACCACCTCAACATAATAAAGGACATATATAAAAAACCCACAGCTAACATCATCCTGAATGGTGAAAGATTGAAAGTTCTTCCTCTAAGGTCAGGAACAAGACAACAATGCCTGTTTTTTCCACTTCTATTCAAAATAGTATTGGATGTATTAGCCAGAGCAATTAGGCAAGAAAAAGAAATAAAGGACATCCAAATTGGAAAAGAAGAGTAAAATTATCTCTGTTTGCAGATAACATGACCTTATATGTAGAAAACCATAAAGATCCCCAAGAAAACTGTTAGAACTAATAAACAAATTAATCAAAGCTGGAGAATACTAAATCAACTTGTAAAAATCAGTTGTTTCAGGACTTCCCTGGTGGCACAGTGGTTAAGAATCCTTCTGCCAATGCAGGGGACATGGGTTCAATCCCTGGTCCGGGAAGATCCCACATGCTGCAGAGCACCTAAGCCCATGCACCACAACTACTCATCCTGTGCTTTAGAGCCCGCAAGCCACAACTACTGTGCCTGCGTGCCACAACTACTGAAGCCCACGCACATAGAGCCCGTGCTCCGCAACAAGAGAAGCCACCGCAATGAGAAGCCTGTGCACCACAATGAAGACTAGCCCCTGCTCGCCGCAACTAGAGAAAGCCCACGCACAGCAACGAAGGCCCAATGCAGCCAAAAACAAAAATAAATAAATACTATTTAAAAAATCAGTTGTTTCTATACACAAACAATGAAACATTCAAAAAGGAAATTAAGAAAATTTTATTTACAATACTATCAAAAATAATGAAATATTCAGGAATTAACCAGGGAGGTGAAAGACTTATACACTGAGAAACTATAAATAAACACTGCTGAAAGAAATTAAAGAAGACATAAATAAATGGAAAGACATTCCATGTCCATGGATTGGAAGACTTAACATGGCTAAGATGACAGTACTACCCAAAGTGATCTAAGATTCATCGCAATCCCTATCAAAATTCCCCAATGACTTTTTTTTTTTTTTTGCTGAAATGGAAAATCAGCCCTAAAATTCATATGGCATTTCAGGAGACCCCTAAAAGCCAAAAAAATCTGGAAAAAGAAGAACAGAGTTGGAGGACTCGCATTTCCTGATTTCAGAATTTGTTACAAAGCTACAGTAATCAAAAGTGTGGTATTACGGGGCTTCCCTGGTGGCGCAGTGGTTGAGAGTCCGCCTGCAGATGCAGGGGACGCGGGTTCGTGCCCTGGTCCAGGAAGATCCCACATGCTGCGGAGCGGCTGGGCCCATGGGCCATGGCCGCTGAGCCTGCGCGTCCGGAGCCTGTGCTTCGCAACGGGAGAGGCCACAACGGTGAGAGGCCCTTGTACCGCAAAACAGTGAGAGACCCATGTCAGCCGCTGTTGCCTCCTAGACTTGGCTCAAGGCTGGGCCTGCCCAGATTTGCCTGGGACAGGAAGTCATGGCCAGCCTGATATCCAGAGGTGAGAGTCCATGTACCTGGACCTGAGAGGGAAGGGTGTGGTCTGGCCTCCGGCAGTAGAGATTCAGTCAGGCTGCCTGGGGCACATAGGAACAGAGGCTACTCACAGATGACGTTCAGGGTGAATGGGTCACTGCGGCTGACACTCACTGGGTTCCGAGCTTCACACATATAGGGTCCTGTGTCATTCCTCGTGACATGGAATAAAGTGAGAGTCCTGTTGTCCTCAGACAGCTCCAGCCTGGTGCTGTTGGGGAGGCTCTGCTTGTTGACCCACCACGTGTGGGAGGTGTTCTGAGTCTCCGTCCCACATGTTAACACTACAGTGTCCTGCTCCATGGGGTTGGAGTTGTTGCTGGTGATGACTGGGGTGGGCAACACCGCTGTGAAGACAACAGAGAGAACATGGCCCCTTTTATACCTTGATTCCTCCAATAGCATCTTCAATCAGAGTTGGCATTTCTCACCTTTCAGCCAAACTGAGTCCTTAAAGAATAAGGCAGGTCTTTGTATCACAAGACAAATGCATGAACATCTGAACTCAGAGAGTATAAGGCCACCTGCTCTATGTCTGAGAGAAAGCACAGACTTCCTCGAGTGTCTGTCACGTATCAAGGTTTGATAGCAGTAACATAGGCCTGGAAATCAGAGACCCCTTGCTCCCTCATTTAGTTTTTTGTTTGTTTGTTTGTTTGTTTTTGTGGTACGCGGGCCCCTCACTGTTGTGGTCTCTCCCGTTGCGGAGCACAGGCTCCGGACGCGCAGGCTCAGCGGCCATGGCTCACGGGCCCAGCCGCAACGCGGCATGTGGGATCTTCCCGGACCGGGGCACGAACCCGTGTCCCCCGCATCGGCAGGCGGACTCTCAACCACTGTGCCACCAGGGAAGCCCCCTCATTTAGTATTTTACTGACCAGGTGACTACCTGACTGACCTTGGGGTGTTCACCTGGAACATGCAGGTCCTGAGACCCTCAAGCTGCACAGACCTACATTGCCTGGTGGAGACGTGTTTTCACTGAGTCCTCGATTTCCAAGGTTCCCTAGAGATAGGTAATGATGGGCCATCCCATAGTCCTTAAACCCCAAGAAGACTGGGCAACATGGCCTGGAACTGGGTGTTTGAGCAGAAATAACACATGGGACGACCCAGAGCAAGCCTGGTGGTCAGTCCAGTATTCAGGCTGCAGGGCCATGAGGTGGGGCAGTTCTGCCCAGGTGTTAAGGGTGATTGACAAGACAGTGACCCCGTAAAGGCTAGGCAAGTCCAAAGAATGATTAGAAAAGAGTGAGGGGGAGGGACTTCCCTGGTGGTCCAGTGGGTAAGACTCTGCGCTCCCAATGCAGAGGGCCCGGCTTCGATCCCTGGTCGGGGACCTAGATCCTGCATGTATGCCCCAACTAAGAGTTCGCATGCCGCAACTAAGAAGCCCGCCTGCCACAACTTAAAGATCCTGCATGCCGCAGCTAAGACCCAGCCAAAGTAAATAAATAAATAAGTATTTAAAAAAAAAAAAAAAGAGTGAGGGGGACATGCTGGCTGGCTTTGGCAGCAGAACCAACGTCTCTGCCCTTAGTCTTGGACAGAACTGATCGGGGAGAGGTCTGAGTCTGTTTTATAAAGAGAGGAATGATTTAAATTAGTAGAAACGTTCTGTGTTATGTTAATAACTTTAGGAGAAGAGGTCCCTGTCACCAGTTTCCGTGGACAGTCAGGCAAATGGGGAGGAGGCCCACCACTGGCGTGTGGCATGTTTTCTTTTCTTTTCTTTCTACCTCAGGAAACACAGGTAGAGCTGGATCAAATTTGTCTGAGTTGGGCCAAGTCTAAGTGAAATGACAGTGGCTTGGGCACCTCATCGTCGGAGAGCCCTATGATACAGGTACCATCATGAGGACACACGGGCAATGAAACAGTCAGTAAAGCAGTCAGATGGCACAGGGTCTGTCAGCCCCACCCTGGGAAGGTCTTGGGAACCACTGAGAGGAACGGGAGGCTCCCAGAAGGACAAGAATGTGAGTCACAAATCAAAGAGGTGAAGTGAGCCACTGGGGACTGCAGACCTGTCTTTCTGCCTCTGACTTCCTGGTTGAGTCATGTAGGCCTTAGATTCACCACCTGTTACGTGGTATGTTCCACTTGTTGGCATCATGGAGGGAAAGAGCCCTGGACCAGGGCAAAGTGGGAGCTCATTCTCCCGGTGACCTGGGGAAACTGGCTCGTGTTGGAGCCTCGCAGAGGCTGCTGCTCCCACTGATTTCTGCGTCCTTTACTATTGCCCGGGAGAGTGGGTCTGGCCACAGGTGTTAGCAGGACGGGAACAGGGCAGTCAGCCATTTGCGGGAGTATCTGTGGAAGGCTTAAGGGTAGGGGAGCTGTGCAGAGCAGGGCCAGTCCCGGCTGGAAAGAAGGAGGAGGAAGATGAGAGACATGGAAGCAGCAGAGAGAGCAAAAAATGTCCATTTACAAGTGACTTCAAAGTGGGGGTTACAAGTGCCGTCAAAGATCAAAGATCCAAGAGCCCCGCTGCTGCCCAGAGGCAGGACCCCTACAGCCCTGGAAAACCCTCCCATGGCCGAGCAGCCCCACAGTCACCGTGAGACCTGGCTCCCAACGTGCTTTAGGGGCGGGTGGTCAGAGGATGGAACATGGGTCCCATCCCTGGAGAGACAGGCAGTAGGTGTGGCCAGTACCTCCTAGGATTCTGCATCCAGATTCCAGTGCCTGAAGAGATTATAGGTCATTCACTCATTCTTATACCTTCCATCCTTCCTTCATCAAAGAAAGATTGAGAGTTTACCTGTTGGGCCCTATGCTGCTTGCAGGTGTAGGTTGGAGAGTGAGGAAACCGAGTCCTTCCCATGTTATTCCAGCGGGAGTGACACCCAGCACATTAGGAAACAAATAAATAAATGATTTCTCATCCAGTGCAAGGAGCTTGTGCATTGGCTGCCTGAAGAGGGAAGGCCTGGACCTTCCTGTCACTGACTATGATCATTGATGCAGGTCATTTAGTTCTAGAGTAAACAGGATTCATTTTCCATTTCCTTTCACTTTCCATGCCCGAGTCTCCCTCTGAGTTGGGGATGCCCAAGAAGAAAGGATCTGAACCCACAGCTGGCTTCTGGGTCCAAAGATGCACAACAAGGCCCCCGGGATGGAGGAGAGGACGGGGCTGTTATCTTGGCATGACTCTGATTGGCCAGTCATGGTCTGTGTGACTCTGATTCAGTGAGTGTAATCCCCTTTAACTCAGTTTCTCCTCATTAAAATAGAAAAAATGGTAAATTGTCTCAGGATTGCCCTGTTGCCTGTGTATTAACCTTAAATCATTAATAATTAACTGACCTAAAGCTGAGCATAGAGGAGCTGACCATAAAAACTGCATCTGTTATTAGTTGCATCCACAGGAGAGGGCTCCCTGGGCTGTGCCCGGTGGTCAAGGAGCTGCCAGGAGCATCTTCTGTCCTCTGTTCCTCCCTAAGGATGCTGACCTTCCTCTGGAGTCTCCTTAGTCCCCCTGGTGGTCGGCTAATAACCTGTCTTGCTCTCCATGCTGAGTCTCAGGTGAAGGCCCAGACTCCACCCCTGCCCAAATGTGGCTCTTGGGGCTGAGCCCTGGCTGGTGACCAGCTCTGAAGCCTTGGGACTCAGGCAGCTGGGAAGTCACTGCTCCCAGTCAACCCCGTCCAGGAGGATAAAGCCCAACAGTGGCAAATGTTCTCCGGGGTTGTTGGAGGCGGGAGCGGAGGAGCTGGGCAGGGGCTTCCTGGGGCTGAACTTCTCTGTGGGGGTCCCAGGGGGCCCTCAGGCCAGGCCCATACTGAGTCCTACAGGGTCTCCCTCAGTGTCATGGGCACAGGGGGTTGAACTGCGGCTGATCTTCCTCTGCTGTGTTACTCCCATCAGCCTGGTCCTTCTTCCTGCACAGAATGTCTTCAGGGTCCGGATTCTGCGAAAGAATTCTGATCCTTTGACGTTTGTCTCCACTGTGTGTATGTCCTGCACTAAATGTTCAAAGCCCAACCTGGGATGTGACGCAGCGGGGGGTGGGGACACAGTCCAGGCCTGTCAGTCCCTGTGTGTGAATAGAATTCACCTCACCCAACACCCAGAGGCCAGAGAGGAATCACTCACGGTATACGTGGAGCTGTGCAGCTAGTCTTTCCGTCCGTAAATCATTCTTTATGATGAACAGGGTGTAGTATCCTGTGTCGTGCTGGGTGACATTCTGGAACAGCAGGGATCCGTTGGGGTATATTGTCTCTCGACCGCTGTGTGCAAGCCCAGTGGTGCTTGTACTAACGTCTATTCTATGTGATGCAATTAGTTGGTTGTTCTCTACCCTTTCTCCTCTGTACCAGCTGTAGCCTAGAAGATCCCCTGTCACACTGTGGACAAGTAGAAGCACATCCGTGCCTTCTGCAGCAATGACGGGCACCGATTCAATAGCGGGTTTCACAGTGCTGAGCAGCTTCCAGAAGATTACGAGTGGGACTAGGAGGGAAGAGAGAGAAATTAATATTCTGACCTATGTGTTGGGATGGAAAAATGGGGCCCTGGGTCCTGAGCAGGGCTCTTCATCCCTCAGCCTTGGTGTGTGTTTTTGTAGTGCGTGTGTGTGTGTGTGTGTCTGTCTGTGTCTGTGTGTGCATGTGTGTTTGCTACTGGCTCAGGGTCAGCAGCATGACCCCCATTACTTCAGCCCCTCTGAGCTTGTTATTTCCTCTGTTTCCCCAGATGTCTTCCTGGCTCACTCCCTTGCTGCCCTCACACGCTTGTTCACACTTAGGGGCCTGTTGGGAGCTGCCCTCCCTGACACCTGCTCCAAAGACCCTCCGTCTTCACTTTCTGACCTTTCCCTGCTCCGTTTCCTTCATGATACTTGTCAGCACCTGACAGCACATTCTAGATCTCTTTGCTTGTCTGTCTTCCTCCCCATAGAGTGTGAGCTCTGGGACGGCAGGGACTTGTCTGATCCTGGTTGTAACCCAGGGCCTGGACCAGGCTCCAAATACCAGGTGAGGAAGGAATGAGTGTTCCCAGGGCCTCCACCGCCTGGTGTTTATTTGTCAGTCTCTAAGGGTGGTGGGTAAGGACAGTGTTTAGCTTCCTGGTTGCGTTTTTTTCTGGATTGACACCCTGACATAAATTGTTATTGTCACCAGTTTTGAAAAATTACTGCTCAGTGATGAATAATTTGGAAAATGTACAGTAATTGAGGTTTTCCTGCCCCTCACCAATTCCAGTTCATTGAGATTTTCCTGTTGCTCAGTCCCTCCCCCTACCCTCCCCTGCTCCCATGTCCTCTTCCCTCAGGTCCAGACAGAAGCCCTCTGTCCACTCTCAGAGCCCTGTCTCCCCCAGAGACCTCAGCCTGTCTCTGTTCTCCCACCCCTGCCCACACCCTGAAAACTGTCCCGTCTCACCTGCCAGCAGGAGCCCATTCCAGGGGCTGCACCCTCTGTGGGCATGGGCTAAGGGGGGCTTCATGGTGTCTGCTGTCTGCTGTGTCCCTCGCTCTGTGAGAAGAGCTTCAGCTCCCGAAATGCTCACGAGCACTGCTGTCTGATGTGTGAGCTCTGCTGTCCTTCCTCCCTCTGTGCTGGGCCTCCTCCTGGGGCAGGAGCACTTCGCTGGGTCACGTGGGCCAGGGGCGGGGTCTCTGCCCAGGGCCCTCCCTCTCCCTCCTCTCTCATTTCTGCCTGCCTTCTCTCTTCTTCCACCTTCCCTTCCTGTTTACAATTCATTTCCCTGTGAACCGCTGCTCTTTCTGCCTTTTTCAGCTTGACTCCTCAGCCTAGAAACACACACACACAATTTGCCATTGGTTGGGGGGAGCACAACCCTGGGGCTCCGTGTCCTGGGCATTCCCCACAGTTCGCAGTTGGAGTGCACAGTCAGCCTCTCCCCCACAGCCTCCCCTTCCCCTTCTGGGTTTTCCCTTTAGAGCAGGAGCCCTGCGGCTACATCTCATACCCTTGTCACAGGAATGTCACCCACACTGTGCATTGGAATCACTGTGGAACTTTATAAAGACTGTGAATGCACAGATGACCCCTTAGAAATGCTGTTTCAGCAGCTGCCCAGGTAACATGTATGCCCAGCCAGGCTGAGACCCCATAATGGGCTGGGGTAGACTCTTCCCCTCTCTTGTGCACACGGAGGGTCTGCAGATCCTGTGAAAGCACAGAGTCTGCCTCAGCAGGTGTGGGGTGGACCTGAGAGTCTGCATCGAGCTAGCTCTCGGGTGACGCTGATCATACTGGCCGTGGAGCACGGTTTCAGTAGCAAGGTCTGTCAGCACCACACAGACACCTAGAGGTCCCCAAACCAGGATCTTATTTCCCTTTGTGACACGGAGGGTCTTTCCAATGTTCTCAAATGCTCTGAGAAGGTTTCCTTCTGTTCCTGCCAGAAGGCTCCAGAAAAGGATTGAGGGACTGGAAAGGGTGCAACGTGAGTGATGTCTGGTGAGAGGGACGCTCCTTCTCTCTCCATGGGGGTCTAGCTGGGCCACAGCTTCCTGGGACACACACTGATGACCTGAAGGAATAGTAGTTCCTAAAGGTGTGAAGTGGGCCAACTCCTGGCTGGATGGAGGAGCTGTCCATTGTGGGGAGCTTGGAGAGCTGTGGCCTAAGGTGACACTGGTGAGGGTCCTATTCTGCTGGGCTGAGGGGGGTCTGTAGCCCTTGGGGAGGCTCTAGCCTGTGGGGTAACTCTGCCGCCCTCTGGTGGACAAGGAGGGAAGTGCAGCAGTTACCGTGCCACGCTGCTCTGCATGTTTATTCAACGCCATGAACTTTTTACATGGGTTACATATCATGTGAATGCTGCATCATGTTCCAGCTCTGTGAGTCACAGTCTCTGCTGCTCCAAGAACTCCAGCCCCGTTCCTTAATGAGATGTCACCAAGCTCAGATTTCCAGGAATGTAGATGAGTCTGTGTTTGTCTCCAGTAGGTTATACTGTGTGCGTCCCTGGGAGACAGTAGTGAATGTGGCTGGAGCACTAGGTGATGGGTCTATGGGAAGAAGAGGCAGGAGCAGGGAACCAGGCTTGTCAGGAGGGGAAGGTCTGGGTCAGGGGAGCAGAGGGGGAAAGGATGGACAGTCAACTTCCCCTCTCGCTCCTGGGGCCTGGGTCAGGTGAGAAGGGAGCTGGTTCCCTCTTGTTCATCAAGAGCTGGGCCTCACGGGTGCCCTATGCCCATGGCTGAACTCTCGTGTTAAGTCCACTTTTATCCAGGGTTGTCGTTGGCGCTCTCTGTACACATAGGCTATGAATGGAGAGGCCCCTGGTCTTGAGGTGGCTTCACACACACAGTCCCACCCAGGGCCTCGGGGTAGCTCCCGCAGCGCCTGTGATCCTCTGCTTCTCCCTCCCCCATCCTGGGGTTTCTTTCCTGTACCACCTTCTCCCTGGGACTCTGTGGACAGCCTCAGCCAGTGACCTCACCTGCTTCCGTTCTAGGCAGCTATCCCTGTGATCTCTGCCCCCTCACAATCTCTGGGCCTCACTAGTCTCTCTCATTTTTTCTGACCCCTGATCCCTGTGAGGAAAGGAGGTTGAAGCTGAGATTGGTACTCTCCAGGTTCTACACTTTTTAGACAGCTTGAAAGCCAGGAACCCTGATGTGTCAGTGGAATCATTTTTGTGTCTCCCGGTGGAAGCATTCCTCCCTTTGGAACCAAGACCTCTGGGCCAGCAGAACATAAAGTCACGGGAACAGGAAGTGTAAATTTTCCTAGTGGATCATTAGAGGAGATCATTAGAGGACCACAGGCTCCGGACGCGCAGGCTCAGCGGCCATGGCTCACGGGCCCAGCCACTCCGTGGCATGTGGGATCCTCCCGGACCGAGGCACGAACCCGTGTCCCCTGCATCGGCAGGCGGACTCTCAACCACTGCGCCACCAGGGAAGCCCAAACCCGAATATATACCTTTTGACTCCATTCACCCATTTCACACACACCCCACTCCTCATCTCTGGCAACCACCAATCTGTTCTCTGTTTTTGAGCTTGAGGTTTTTTGATTTGTTTTAAATTCCACATATAAATGAGATTATACAGCATTCGTCTTTCTCTGACATTTCACTTAACATAATCTCCTCAAGGTCCATACATGTTTGTAGTAAATGGCAAGATTTCATGTTTTTAATGGCTGAATAATATTCCGTTATATATATGTACACCACATTATCTTCATCCATTCACCCGTAGATGGACACTTAGGTTCGTTTCATATCTTGACTAATGTAAATAATGCTGCAATAACATGAGGGTTCATAAATCTTTTCATTTTCTTCAGCTGAATTCCGAGAAGTGGAATTGCTAGGTCACATGGTAGTTCTATTTTTAACTTTCTGAGTAACCTCCATTCTGTCTTCCCTAGTGGCTGCACCAATTTACGCAATTTACATTCCCACCAACAGTGCACAAGGGTTTCCTGTTCTCCACACCCTCACCAACACTCGTTATTTCTTGTCTTTTGGATAACAGCCATTCTAACAGCTGTGAGGTAATAGCTCATGCGGTTTTGATCTGCATTTCCCTGATGATTAGTGGTGTTGAGCACTGTTTCCTGTACCTGTTGGCCATCTGTATGTCTTCTTTGGAAAAACGCTTACTCAGATCCTCTGCCCATTTTTAATCAGATCGTTTGGTTATGTGCTATTGAGTTGTCTCAGTTCTTTAAACATTTGGGGTATTTACCCCTTATCAGATATATGATCTGCAAATCTTATCTCCCATTCAGTAGGTTGCCTTTTCATTTTGTTGATGGTTTGTTTCCTATACTGCGCAGAAGCCTTTTAGTTTGATGTAGTCCTACTTGTTGATTTTTGCTTTTCTTGCCTTTGCTTGTGGTGTCAAATCCGAAAACTCATCACCGAGAGCAATGTCAAGGAACTTACTGCCTATGTTTATCTTCTAGGATTTTTACGGTTTCAGGTCTTACATTCAAGTCTTTCATCCATTCTGAGTTAATTTTGCTTTATGGTGTAAGACAGTCATCCAGTTTTACTCTTTTGCATGTGGCTGTCCAGTGGCAGGATGGGACGGAAAGTTCCAACCCTCTAATCACTCCTTTGGGTCCACTAGCCACCAGCCCTCATCTTTAGATGCAGTCCAGTAGAGACCTCATTAACATAACAAAAGACACCTTCGCGGCTCTAAGCACTTAGGAAATTCCAAGGGTTTTAAGGAGCTCTGTGTCAGAAATGGGGAGGAAGACCAAATGTGTGCTTCTGATTATAAACCACAAGATCACACCTTCCCCACATTTTTCAATTCCTTGATGGTACTAATCTCTGCAGTCCCTCCAGGAATGTGGTACTGCTTTTGATTTATTTTCCTAGGTCGAGGCAGTTCTAGTGGCTTCCATTTGGCCTATCCTACCAAAATAGCCCTCACTCCACAGGTCAGGGAACCAATGTGGGGATTCTTCCAGTTGCTGAATATATCTACTCCAATTATGCATTTCAAAACTGGGGAAATAACCACAGGATGAGTTCAGGGACCCAGTGGGCCCTTGTGAGATGGACTGGAGCTAAAACTCCATTGCTTGTCTGATTTCCATATGGTCCTACTCTGACTGGTGGGCTACGGTGACATTTTGGGTCACCTGCAGTTAGTGTCAGTTCAGAGCCTGTGTCCATCAATCCCCCCAAAAGTCTGATTATGTCTTTTTCCCTGATGTATGGTCACTCTGGTAAAAGGTCAAAGATCACTTTGGGGAAGAAGTCTGGGAGAAATATTAACAGTAAAACAAAAAAAACAAACAGAAAAAAACAGGGCTTGCCCTGGTGGTGCAGTGGTTGAGTCCGCCTGCCGATGCAGGGGACATGGGTTTGTGCCCCGGTCCGGGAAGATCCCACATGCCGCGGAGTGGCTGGGCCCGTGAGCCATGGCCACTGAGCCTGCGCGTCCGGAGCCTGTGCTCCGCAATGGAAGAGGCCACAGCAGTGAGAGGCCCGCGTACCGCAAAAAAAAAAAAAAAGAATCTGCCTGCCAATGCAGGGGACACGGGTTCAATCCCTGGTCCGGCAAGATCCCACACGCTGCGGAGCAACTAAGCCTGTGCGCCACAACTACTGAAGACCTCGCGCCTAGAGCCTGTGCTCCACAACAAGAGAAGCCACCACAATGAGAAGCCCGTGCACCGCAACAAAGAGTAGCCCCCGCTCGCCGCAACTAGAGAAAGCCCGCGTGCAGCAACGAAGACCCAATGCAGCCAAAAATAAATAAATAAATAAAATAAATTTATTAGAAAAGAAAATCATATATCTGTTAAGGGGTTAATGCCTAGAATATATAAAGAAACCCTACAATTCAACAACAACGACACTAAAAAAAACCCAAATTACCTGATCAAAACATGATCAAAACACTTGAATAGACATTTCTCCAAAGAGGATATACAAGTGGCCAACTAGCTTATGAAAAGATACTCAACATCACTAATCATTAGGGGAATGTAAATCAAAATAACAGTAGGATATTACCTCACACTCATTTTATAGTGGCCATCATGCATGTACACACACACACACACACACACACAGGCATGCAGAAAATAACCTGTGTTGGCAGGAATGTGAAGAAATTGGAAACTTTGAGCAGTGTTGGTGGAAGCATAAAATAGTGAATCTGCTGTGGAAAACAGTATATGGAGTTTCTTTCAAAAACAAGAAATAGATTTACCATATGATCCAGCAAACTCACTTCTGGTTTTATATCCCAAAGAATTGAAAGCAGGATTTTGAAGAGATATTTGCACATCCATATTCACTGCAGCATTCTTTACAATAGCCAAGGGATGGATGCAACCCAAATGTCCACAGACAGGAATGGAAAAAGAAAATGTGGTCTATACATACAATGGAGTATTATTCAGCCTTAGAAAAGAGGGTACTTCTGGACTTTATGCTAAGTGAAATAAGTCAGTCACAAAAAGACAGACACTGTGTGCTCCCCCATATATGAGATATCTGAAGTAGTCAAATACATAGAAACAGAAAAAGAACAGTGGTTGCCTGTGGCTAGGGTGGGGAGGGAAAAAATGAGTTGTTAAAGTGTAGAATTTCAGTTTTGCTGATAAAAACGTGCCATAGATCTGTTGCACAACTAACAGCCTACATATAACAGCCACTGAACTGTATACTGGTTAAGGGTTATGATGGTAAACTTAATGCTCTGTGCTTTTTACGATAATTAAAGTTTTTTGAGGGAGAAATTTGGGGTTAAGAACCCTGGGGCTTTTGAGAACCTCCTGCCTTGAAGGGGAAGCTCTGGGCTCGATAA